CAACATTTATTTTTTAATTTTATTTTATTTATCCGTGTAAAAGCGAAAACGTGTAAAGAAAGTACCGTGTAAAACGAGGGAAAAATTATTTTCAACATTATTTTTTTTTTTTTGTAAACCGCGTAAAATCGAAAACGTGTAAAGACAGTAACGTGTAAAACGGTTATTTTTGTTATTATATTGGTAATTATTGTTTGATTAATGAACTTTTGGCAATTAAGTGTAGATTCCTAATATTATATGATTTTATTTTATTATCGCGTAAAAGCGAAAACGTGCAAAGACAGTAACGTGTAAAACGGTTATTTTTGTTATTATATTGTTAGTTATTGTTTGTTTAATGAACTTTTGGCAATTAACTGTAGATTCCTAACATTATATGATTTTATTTTATTATCGCGTAAAATCGAAGCGTGTAAAGACAGTAACGTGTAAAACGGTTATTTTTGTTATTATATTGGTAATTATTGTTTGATTAATGAAGTTTTGACAATTAAGTGGAGATTCCTAATATTATATGATTTTTTATATGAAAATAAGAATAAATAATTTGTTGAAGTGAATAATCTTTAGGTTATGTTTAATGGTATTCAATGCTCGCCCTTATAATGAATCAAGCAATCGCCTGTGTCCATATTTCACATTCCACGTAAATGGGTCAAGTGATATAAAAGCCTGCATACTTCTTGTTCGTTGTACGTTGTTCTTTATTATAGTTTGTTGTTTCTTTTTTTTTTAAATTTTGTTTTCCGCTTTACTTTGTTTTCCGCTCTGTCGCAATTAGAAAGAGCGAGAAAGGTAGAGAGAAAACAAGCAAATAACGGCAGATTGTGCGCGAAAACAAATGACCTGTTGGAAGGATCCAATTGATTTTCAGATTAAACTGAGGCGACTGAAATTTGTCAAAACCGCACTGTAATAATAATGCACGGATTAAACGTACGAACACAATTGTGTTATATGTGTGTGTGTGTATATATGTATATGGTTTGTGTGTGTGTGTATATATTGTATGGAGAATATTTTAATCAAGCCCTTGAATAATTAAGGCGGTTAAGCGCGGCGCCGTTGTGTAATAACGAGGCAAACGGTCTTCCTGCATGCGCCCCGCAGGAAACAATATAACTTGCGGCAGGCAAATGATCTCTCACCCCGTCCCCTTTGCACCCTTCAAATGCTCGCGCCACCCCTGCTCTAAAAGCGTATATGCATATACATCATAGAAGTTCCTTCGCGTTTGCCCTTTTTTTTTTCTCTCTCTCTCTTCCAACGACTACTTATTTTCAGCTTACACAATATCAAACTTTAAATCCATCTCACTACATTCAAAATCAATCCCAAAAAAACTTAAATTTTCATTAGAATTTTAAACAACTTTAAGTAATTGATGAATGAAACATTAAATTGATGAAATTGTAATCTTAGTACATTTAAAATCAATCCCAAACAAACTCAATTATTATGAAATTTTCATATAAAACTCAAATAAATTCATGATAAAAATGAAATTTAAATAAAATGTTATTGATGAAATTGTAATTATTTATTGATGTGAAATCAAACTTTAATTTAATCTCACTACATTTAAAATCAATCCCAAAGAAACTCAAATACATTCATCAATTATTATGAAATTTTTATTTAAAACTGAAATAAATTCATGATAAAAATGAAATTTAAATAAAATTGTATTGATGAAATTGTAATTATTTATTGATGTGATGAAGGGATGATTTTTTTTTGAGGTGAAAATTTCGCGGTTGCTGTGAGGGTTTGGTTGGTATTATATAAATGTTGGTAATGCGGGGGCAATGAAAGGTAAATAGAACAAGGGAAATAGCAACCACCGGTGCAGAAATAATCGTCGCCCCGTCGACCGCAGTCAGCAACATATGTTTGGAGAGCCGCAGCAGGAATATGGAGCGACGGAAGGGAGAGAAGAGTTGGTTTGAAAGATTATATGAGTACGAGAGAGAGAGAGAAAGGGTATGGGATAAGTGCGTGGGATGAAGAGGGATGCGGGTATTGCGTACAGGACCGTCGCGCGGCTCTGGAATTTCATACGGATTGTATTACATATCAATCGATGTATTTACGTCCTTGATTTACCTTTATTTTTTTTAATACGTACCCTAAATATCATATTACATTTCAATTAGGATATTTGCTTATAGTTTTGATTGATTTAAAACTTATGATCAAATTATTTAACTAACATTTGAAGGCTTTCAATCTCATCCTTGAATCTATTACATTTTTATGCAACATATAAATTTTAAGTAAAAATTGTAATTTAAAAAAAGATAATTTCCTTTCTTTTTTGAAAACCCTTAATAAGAAATTACATTAACTTTTGTTTTTAGTTTAAAACTTTTTGAAAATAATTATTTAATTAAAGTTTTTAACAAAAAAGTTATTTGGAAGAATTAATACAATTTCCATTAATTTCACATTTTCAATCTAAATATTTGATGTTTTTCAATGACATTTTTAAAGAACAAAGAAATTGTAAGTAAAAAACTGTAACTTTATAACAGAAATCATTTGTAAAATTGTATACAATTTCAATTGAGACAAAAATATGTTTTTGTTAATACTTTATTTTAGTCACATTTCAGTCCATAATTAATTTAGCCTTAAAATTGTATACAAAATTTCCTTATTTTTTTTTTTATAAATTAAGGACAAAAATTCAATGAGTTAAAGAATTGATACGTCCTTATACTAAAACTTTTGAATCTAATTATTTAAAGTCTTTCAATCTATTATTTGGATCTATAACATTTCTATACAACTAAGAAATTTTAAGTAAAAATTGTATTTACATTTTAATTAAGATATTTAACTTTTGTTTTTAGTTTAAAACTTTTTGAAAATAATTATTTAATTAAAGTTTTTAACAACAGTTATTAGGAAGAATTAATACAATTTCGATTAATTTCACATTTTCAATCTAAATATTTGAAGATTTTCAATAACATTTTTAAACAACAAATAAATTGTATGTAAAAAACTGTAACATTATAAAAGAAATTTTTTTTTTTATAAATTAAGGACAAAAATTCAATGAGTTAAAGAATTGATACGTCCTTATACTAAAACTTTTGAATCTAATTATTTAAAGTCTTTCAATCTATTATTTGGATCTATAACATTTCTATGCAACTAAGAAATTTTAAGTAAAAATTTTAATTACATTTCAATTAGGATATTTAACTTTTGTTTTTAGTTTAAAACTTTTTTAAAATAATTATTTAATTCTAGTTTTTAACAAAAGTTATTTGGAAGAATTATTCGATTAATTTCACATTTTCAATGTAAATATATATTAAATATTTAAAGTTTTTCAATGACATTTTTAAGCAACAAAGAAATTGTAAGTAAAAAACTGTAACTTTATAAAAGAAATCATTTGTAAAATTGTATACAATTATGATTTTGTTAATACTCAATTTTAGTAAAAACTACACTTTTTAATCATTACATTTTAGTCCATTTCCATTATTTTAGCCTTCATATTGTATACAAACTATCCTTTTTTTTTTATAAATTAAGGACAAAAACTCAATGAGTTAAACAATTTAAATTTAAACTTAAAATATAACAATTTTGTATCTGTATTATGAAAATATTATGTGTGTTTACATTATAAAACTGAAGAAAAATACGTGAATCAAAGTACCATAGCATAATGCTTTTGATATTATTTTGTTTTGCCGAAATAATTTAATTATTACTTCTTTCAATGAATTAATCAAGTAAAATGTATTAATTTTATAAAATAAATCATTTTTATTGCTTATTTAATAACTTTGAATGAAAGAAAGTAATAAAATCTAGTTCATAAAAGAAGTTTTTAAATTCTTTATATACTTTATTCTATTTAGTGGTTTTAAATTTTTAGGTTTGTCTTAAGATTATTTTGATCATTTTTAGTGTGGTTATTTCCAATCGTTATTTTTTTATGTTTAATCTTTCTACTTTCATTCATTCATTTTTAATGTGATAAATATGTAAAATTGATTTTCTTTTGTTGTAGTGTTCTAGTGAATTTAGGCTTTAAGTTGGTCACTAGGTTATTTTGACGTATTTAATATAAATGATTGACTTTTTAGTTAAGTTTTCTAGTGATATTAGTTAATTTTAGTATTATAAATATCTATAATTGCTTTAATTACATTGTGTTCTAATGATTTGATCACTTGGTTATTTTGATGTTTCATTTTTAGTGTAGTTAATACGAATCGTTATTTTTTTTTATGTTTAATCTTTCTACATTCATTCATTAATTTTGAATGTGATAAATATGTAAAATTCATTTTCTTTTGTTGTAGTGTTCTAGTGATTTTAGGCTTTAAGTTGGTCACTAGATTATTTTGACGTATTTAATATAAATGATTGACTTTTTAGTTAAGTTTTCTAGTGATTTTAGTTAATTTTAGTATTATAAATATCTATAATTGCTTTAATTACATTGTGTTCTAATGATTTGATCACTTGGTTATTTTGATGTTTCATTTTTAGTTTGTTTAATACCAATTATTGGTTTTTATGTTGTATTCTTCTAGTGATTTTAAATCTTAGGTTGGTCGCTTTGTTTTAGTTGTGTTAATGCTGTTGTCCTGGTGATTGTCCTGTTTATTGTTAGTTGACGTATCAAAAAAGTGTCAGGAGACGGTCCTGTGTGCATGTGTATAAAAAAAGAAAATTGGAAGTGGTGTTGTGTCGCAGCAGGAATGGGAATAAGGAGCAAGGACTAAAAGGGTATGGGGAACGTGCAGAGGAGGAGGAGGAGGGTTGGAGCGGTATATATCGACCAAGATGCTCTTATCTCCCCGAGCTGGCGTGGCATCTCCGTGGGCGTGACCGGCGCCGTCGATGTTGCGCGCGTTTTCGCGGCCAGCGGACGGCGGGCCCCGCGGAAAAGGACGGCGCGAAGGGCGCGAGGGACGCGAGCGGGGTGGCGGCGGCGGCGCCGAGCGAGAGGGCGATAGGCGGCGGCGGTGGTGGTGCGCGCCGGGCCCACGTCTTTCGCGGTAGATCCGAGTCGAAAAATCCCTGAACGGCAGTCGGGAAGAAGTGATAAAACATGACAGCGAATCGCGGGTCGTGATTGGCCCGACAGCGCCCGGAGTGCTTCTTATTGTCTCGCGTCTAGTCCTGCCGATAGTCCTGCTCTGGCATGTGCAGCCCGACCGTGATCACCGCGCGCCGCAGGATTCTACAGACATCCACGACGAAGACGACGAACACGATCGCAACCAGGACGACAAAGACGTATCCTCAACGCCGCCTCCAACAGCAGACATCCTCATCATCTTCATAGACATGAGGTCCAAGAGCATCGCAAGGAAAATCACTTCCCACGGTAAGTCAATCTTATGTCAATATTGTTTTCTTCTCGCATTTATCGCATTACGTCCGTCAACTGTTTACAAATATTTCAGCTATATATACAAAAAAAATTCATTATCTCCATTAAATAAATATAGCACAATCTAATTATAACAAATTTGCTAATTACGCATTTCTCCAACTGCATAATAAATAAAAACAAATTATTCATAGCAGGTAAATCTTTCATCTTCTTAAATAATTACACAATTTCATAGTTAATTAACATACAATTATTTCAATTTTTCTAATTGATTTTTTAATTACTATTACAATTGTATTTTTATAATTTATTAAAGATCAATTATTACATTATTCATTTGCCGATTTTGATGTCTCAGTTTTTATATTGTAAAATATAAATATTTTGAATTATTTTGTTTATTATTAACATATCTCTACATCTGTTAATTATATAAATTAAAATTTGTTAGCTTCTTCTATTAATTAACTACTGGTAACATTTACATATAACATATTTAATACAAACACAATGAGCAACAAGCGTTCATTAACATCGCGTTTAAGAGGTTTGTAAACAGTTTTAAATGTATTTTATATACATACAATCTTAATTAAACTGAAAACAAACAATTAGTTAATGAACAATCAAAATTTAAATATTACTTAATGAATAGTTACAAATAGATGTCATATTTAATTAATTGCTTAATATTTAAAATAAACATTTTAGAGACAAAGAAAACCTTTGTGGTTGCTGTACGAAAGCATCAGAATCAATGGTTTCTTTTGTCTTTTATTAGTGTAGTAGTAAATTTTGTCCTAATGAACTAGTAAATAATTAATTAAATTTAATTAATATAATTTTCAATAAAATTCAAATTAAAATTTCTCTTTTAATAATGTGAAATTCTTTATTTACTTGAAAATAATACAAATGGTTTAGTAAAAAATATCAATTCGAAGGTAAGTGAAACATATGAGAAAAAGAAAAAATGAATCAACTACTGTAAATCTAAGTATAATTTCTGTGCGGATTTAGTGTCGATACATAAATCAAAATTTCAATATACGCAAGATTTGTTTCATATCGAAGGCTTCTAAACATAACTCCAAAATTTACGATGCTTATGACGTTACACATGAACCCGTACAGACAGACAAATTGAGGCAACAGCTATTTTCATCCAACGCAATAAAAACTTTGTACTAATTACTTCTAATATTGTTATTATTGTTAATACACTATTGTTATTATAGCAGAAAATAAATGTTGAAATTTTAATTTATATTTTTTAACAATAATAAGAATAATTTCAATTAATTTGCGTTTTTTTTCTTTAGAAGTTATAAAATATGGAATAATCAGAAATAGACGTGGAGGATAGCTGTTGTTGGTTGGCTGCGCCTATGTATAGTCGCGTTTTTAACAAGTAATTTGGCGCGTTTCCAACAGCATCCATGCATCTTCTCTACTCTTTACATACATTCATATATTTTTTATAAATTCCTTGAAAAATCCATTCAAAATAATTACAATTCTTCTCTAACAAATAATTTACGTGCATTAAATTCTTTGTAAATATTTTTTTTTGGTTAAATCGTAACAATGTAAATTGTCAATTTACTATTTTAAATTTTATTTTCATGATTTCTTTTTATAATGATTATTTTTTTGTTAAAGTATATTTTGTAATTTAAAATTTATAATTGCAAAACATGATTAATTTAATAATATGAGAAGATTGTGAAAATAATTACAACAAATATAATAATTTTTCTCTAACAAATAATGTACGTGCATTAAATTCTTTGTAAATATTTTTTTTTTTGTTAAATCGTAACAATGTAAATTGTCAATTTACTATTTTAAATTTTATTTTCATGATTTTTTTTTATAATGATGATTTTTTTTTGTTAAAGTATATTTTGTAATTTAAAATTTATAATTGCAAAACATGATTAATTTAATAATATGAGAAGATTGTGAAAATAATTACAACAAATATAATAATTTTTCTCTAACAAATAATGTACGTGCATTAAATTCTTTGTAAATGTTTTTTTTTTGTTAAATCGTAACAATGTAAATTGTCAATTTATTATTTTAAATTTTATTTTCATGATTTCTTTTTTATAATGATGATTTTTTTTGTTAAAGTATATTTTGTAATTTAAAATTTATAATTGCAAAACATGTTTAATTTAATAATATGAGAAGATTGTGAAAATAATTACAACAAATATAATAATTTTTCTCTAACAAATAATGTACGTGCATTAAATTCTTTGTAAATATATTTTTTTTGGTTAAATCGTAACAATGTAAATTGTCAATTTACTATTTTAAATTTTATTTTCATGTTTTTTTTTTGTAATGATGATTTTTTTTTGTTAAAGTATATTTTGTAATTTAAAATTTATAATTGCAAAACATGTTTAATTTAATAATATGAGAAGATTGTGACTTATTAAATAAATCTTAGAAATTGAAGAATTCGTTATTGTTGTAAAAATCAGAAAAAAATAATTCTTACTATTTATAAAAACTAAAACTAACTAAATAATATTAATTGCAACAAATAAAAGCACAAAATGAAACCTTAATATATCATTAAGTCAACTGCTGTAAAGGGCTATTGACCATTGGTTTTTCTGCATGAAAAACTAAATATTTACATTTATAATTATTTTGATTAAGATTAAGTTATTATATTATAAATATAAAAACATGTATATATTTGTAACATCAGTTCTAAACCCTTTCCAGCCCAAATTTATTTGTTTTATTCAAATCTTCATAAAAGCACTTACTTAATCATAAAAAAAAACATCTTACATATTTTTTTTTCATTAATCAACATTACCTAATGTTAAAAATACATCTAACTTCAATTTACATTAGTTGCATCCATCAGTTTTAAACGTCGAAAGACAAAATTGTATTTAATAATCAATGATTCCTATTGGAATCACTGGGCCGAAAAGGGTTAATTACATCTTAATCACTTAATTAAATATTTTTGAAAGTGATTTAATTGTTAGAATTGAGGTTTTCTATAACATTATGAAGAACAACAATTTATGGATATTACCAGAAATTTCAAACAATAAAATTATTATTAAAAAAAAAGATGGAATAATTTTTGTAGTAATAGTAATTTTTCATAATATATTGAATGTATTATTTATTTAATTCATAAAGTATAAGGAAAATCAAATCTTATTAATTAATTTATTATAATCATTGCAATAGTTACATTGTAAAAAAATAGGACAATTTAACAGCTTTAGTTTTCTGTACAATTTTCTGTATTAACTAAGTTTTACTACAAAAATAACGTAAATTTCTTTTAACTCTTTCAAGTCTGATTATTTAAAATAACTTATAAGTTCAAAATTAAAAAATAGTCAGGTATTTCGTTATATTCTTTGTATGAGAATAAATTTTTATCGGGATATTTTGTCCCAGTCGTATCTGGGATTTATTGTCCCATTGTAATTGGGAACTATTATACTACTAGATTCTATTCCTGGGATATATTGTCTTAATAGGCTTGAAAGGTTTAAATAGATGAACTATTACTGTTAAATTGTTTTCAAAATATTATTAATGTTATAATTCTTGTGAATTAGTTTTATTTGGGTTTTATTAAATTTATGATGCTTTAAAGTTTAACGTGAGCGGTTGAGTTGGGTACTTGACTGAGCTAAAGCTGTTGGAAAAGATGATGGTGATCGATAATATGGCTTATGGAAGACGTAACATTCCTTTGGGAACAGATGTCTGCAATAGTTATTATAAACTACGGACATGATTCCTTCGAGAGTCGCTCGAACGATTAGAAGAAGTATGATTGAGATTTACGCCGTTCTTCGTCGCAGCAGTATTTACGAGCAGGAAAGAGAAGGTGACTGCGATGAGCGTTATATAGGCGATTCGACAAAGTGACGGAGATAACTCTCATTAGCATTCAGGATAATAATGTAAATGCAATAACATCACGGACAATAGATTTCGCTGTCGCTGGGCTGTAAAAGCCCCGACCATAAATGTCACGGCTCCGGAACGTTCTCGAAGAGAGCTCGAGTGTGGATAATTGTTTTGGGACAACGTTCGGAGGAGATAAAGCACAAACTAATAAAGATATGATAGATTCGTGCTGCAGAGAATATGAACGTACCTGTTACATTTGCATACGATAACGTCGCGCAACAACGGCAGCAGTTATTGTTCTTATTGCAACGTACAAAATGAGAGAGAGAGAGAGAGAGAAAAATAAATGAAAATTAAACTTGCAAAAGTGAACTGACTTCTTTCGTTTTTTTTCTTCTTCTTCTCCCTATTCCGATCCACCATCGAACGACGGTTGGGGAATTGCGATTATCAGATTCCTGTACGTAACTCGAGTGCCGTAATAACAATAATTAGTGGTTGGAGCGTTTGAGGGGAGTCCCCAAATACAATGGGAGGTCGAAAAAATCAAAAGCTCTCTCTCCCTTATTTATTTCTATATATTGTAAGAAATCATAAAGAAAACGAGAATAATAATAATATGGAAAGAAATAAAAAGAATATATATATATGTATGTATGTATGAGTACTGATATTAAGGAGAAATCAAAAGAAAGCTTTTGTTTCGTCCTCCTCTTCAGCCGTGACTCTCTCGATGATCTCGACGACAGCTGCTGCTGCTGCTGCAAATTGCCGATGCCCTAATTACGCAATCGCTTTCTCCCGAACCGGAGCAAAAACACACCGCCCATAGTGACCTAACTATCATCAACTCAGCATGGAAAGGATCTCTCACTTGATGGGAAACGAATCCTACTCCTCCCTTGATTCCGGTCGCAAGCTTTTCACCTTCCTTCGTTTCGTCTTCATTCTTTCATCTATTTATTTAGTTTTTTCTTCTTCATTTTTATCCGGACAGATATACAACAAACAAAAAAAAAATAAAAAACATTGGACGGTATTATTTTACCCCCGCGCCACCGTTTCGAGAGGATGGG